TCAAATTTATTTTAAGATCAACTGAATTTTTTACGTGCTTGTTTTTAGAAGCTACTTAAAGATATCTTTTCACTAGGTCTCTAGCTCACCACAGCACCTGTAGGCCAAATAAAAGTGGCACTGAACCCGACTATAAAAAAAGCCAAAGCTGCTTATGGAAGTACAAAATATGAGCAAACAGTAAAGCGCACGTTATTTCAAGCACATTTATTTTTTAATAAAAACCCATTCTTGCCCATGCAGGTCAGCTTGTTGACTTGGCAACTTCCCCCTGACACTCTCTGACCTGTGCCAGGAGGTCACAAGTTGGCCAGAGGCCTGGAGGAGCCTGCTCAGGGGCTCCTTTATTTCCAAAAAGGTCAGGCCAGTATCTAATATCCTATAGCACGTCTCGGCAGCTGTTGCTTGCGGGTTTTCTTCCTCCTCAGTAAACTCAGCTGACCTTAAACATTTCCTGAGTATCTGTTATTCTCAGAAGACATTTTAGGAGGGAGAGATAAGAATGCTAAAGAGACCTTATTAAGGGCTCAAATCCTCTTTTTAAAGCAGCACTGGTTTGACTCAGCAGCAAAGTGCTACGCGCAGCAAAATTAAAAATACTTTTAAAAGTACATTTTGATTTTGTAGCAACCAAACACTGAAAGGCAAAATACGTATGAAAGCACTACCATATCCTCCCTGATATGGGCAGAAAAAAGAAAGGACACTATGAAAAAAGTGCTAATCAAAATTTGGTTCTGGAGTTGAAATTCTGAGCTACATAACGTAAACCTTTCAAGTAAGTGTCCTTCTTTCTCTCTCCCCCACTCCATCATAGCTCCCTAGTCAAATTAAAATATATATATATATATATGTCAATTCTAGTTTTGCAGTTTGTGCAGCACATATACATCTGGAACAAGAAGATTTTAATTCACTGACAGTGCAAATTCTGCGAGCAGCTGGGGGTGTAGCTCAGATAAGAAATTAAGAACAGTTGCAGCAACAGAAAACAGAATATAAAAAGATGCACTGAAATAACTCTTTTTTCCTGCTATGATAGAAACATAAACACCACCACCACCACCCATGCAGCCCTGCTCTACCGCAGGTATTAGCTTCAAATCACTTACCCCTCCAAATGCACCACCACCATCTGCCCCTGGCATAGATTCGACAGAGCTGGTGCTTGCTATCTGAAGGAAACACAATGACACAAACACTTCAGTGTACTAATTCTTCCTAAAATATATCAAACATTAAAAAGAAAACAGAACTTAGCCCTGACTTCTCAGCTGTTCTGCTTGTGAATTCACTGGGCTTGCATGGGCACTCGGGCCCTCTCAGTCCCCAAAGCTGTGCACTGACTCGCGTGCCTGCTCCCCTGTTGGTGTGCAGCAACCTGGCAGATTCCGAATTGCACTTCTCATTTGACCTCTATAAACCAAAAGGGCACGTGATTTATGTGGTCATTTGAAAAGTACTTGCTTTTTTCCTTTTTTTTTTTTTCCCTCTTAATTGCAAGATGTTCCTTAATGGCTGGTATAAAACATAAATGCAAATGGGCATCTATAAACACTCAATACATAAACCTGAGGGCAAATGACAAGCTTGTTACATGAAATGGCATCCTAACGGAAGGATATTTAACCTGGCATTGCCTTGTAGGGATGCTTTGTTCTCAGAGGAGGAGGTTCTTCACAACCAAGCCTCCCATCCTACCTGCAGGCCAATCTTCCTGTGCCAATCATGTGTTTTGAGCTCAGTCACAGCTCCATTTTAAAGCAAAAAGGTTTTACTGCCGCTGTTAGAGACGACCTGAGCTGCAGCACCAAGAAAGCAATCGGACAGAAGGGGCTGGCTCTGCTGTCTGTCCCCAGCACTTACGCCCGAAGCCGACCTCGCCGCCGTGGAGAACAGGCAGGGCGAGCAGCGAGGCGAGCTGCGCGCACGGCCGCGGCCACCGCTCCCCTCGGGAGGGCTGTCCGCCAAGGGGGACTCTCTGAGGGGAAGGAGCTGCCTCAGCCAAGGCCAGGCCACACGGTCTCCCTCCAGCCACCTCCATGTGCCTCTGCAAAGAACAACCATCCTCTCGTCCTGCGGCTGTGCGGAAAGGGGGCTCTCAACAGAAACCAGCCTGGGCGCCGGAGCTCATCCTGCCCAGCAAGGACACGAGGCTGCTCCGACACAGGAGAACAAGAGTGAGAGTGAACAAGGAGGGAGAGAAAACGGGCTCTGGAGGAGAGATGGAGAAACCCCCAGCACATTTAGTGAAAGGGCAGAAAGGCTCTTGTTGCCCTTCCAGATCCCTTCTCCTTTTTGCTTGGAATCACATGCCGAATACATTATAAACGTCAAATACACAAATAACAACGTACCCCAGAATAGTCAGCTCTAGGGCAAGGAAAAGAAAAGCAAGGGGAAAAAGAAGTAATATAACAGCCTCCAAAAATTACAATTTAATGAACAAAGGCAGTCCTAGCGCTCAGAACTGGAGGCTGCCACTTCCACAGAGCTCAGTGCCCTGCAGAGCAGGTACCACTTTTCCCTGAGAGTTTGCTAATAACACACAGACTGGGTTCTTCCCCCACACCAGGCCTTTCTCTTCTGAGATTAAACAGCTACCAGATGGTCCTTTCCTTGGCAGAACTTTTGCATAGGACAAAAAGAAGAAACATTTACCTAGCCTTAAAATGTGACAGGTGAAGACAGAGAGCAGGGAGTTGCATGTCTTCTTGCTCAAGGAATAAACCACAGTGAGACCCTGAGGTTTCCCAAAGCATCTTTAAAAGACTATGGTTACAATGATGAACTGGCAGGCAATGACGCTGTGCAGCCACCTTGCTACTGTCAGATCTCTGCACCTGCAAGAAACTGTAAATCTTGTGTAGGAGAAACAGGGGCTGAGGATCAGCCCTTAATGCCTGCATGAGACTATGCAAGTCAGCAGGGAAAAGGAAAGCATGCTAAGAATCGCGTCCAAAGACACGCAGCAGTCACAAACTACTGCAATTAATCACAAACATTGTAGCATATACAATGCATAGCCATGGATGAGAGAAAGGATGTGAGGAGAATAACTTGACTCATTTTCTACAAGATTACTTGAGAGTACAAGAGTCCCCTTTCTAGTAGCTGTTACAGATCTGAACAGGGATCCACAAAAGCATACCTACCTTTTGACTCATGACAGCAAAAAAGGAAGATCACTATAATTTTTTTCTCTATTTTTTTCTCTATTTTTTTCTTCAGTATCCCATAATGATGCAAGACCTGTGCAGTGGATAGCAGCCACAGCAGAACACGGCTACAAAGGATGCTCTCCAGAACTGCAGTTTTCCTTACAGAAACGCACTCAGCAGTTTTAACTGACAGCATGTTAATTTCTGCCACATTTAGTTTGAACTCAGTTTTCAAAGTTGATTATCTAGATAACCCAATTTGAAAAAGCAGGTTAGCATTCTGGCACAAGGGAAATGATTACGCATATTGTGTTCATACTAAAGGCAGGAGATAAACCAGAGTTCTGTTCTGTCCCACTTTTATGAAAGAGGGGAGTATAAGCAAGTGGCTGTGCCACTAGCACAGAAGCCAAATACAATGAAATGCAGAAATAAGACACACTTATGAGGTTGAACAGGCACCGTGTCTCAACTGGCTAGAGAGACTTGTGCTCGTTATGAGCAAAAAGATATTTTTCTATCAGAGCATCTTGGTCCTGAAGTTGCAGTTCGGGATCTCAAGAGCTCCTAAAATGAGTTAACTTTAAAAGGCATTTTTCTTTTTCTTTTTTTTCTTTTTTAAGCTTTTAAATGGAGTGTTTTCGGCTGATGAATAGTTCATGAGGAATAAGCTACAGCTAAGCTACGCTTGCAGCAATGGGATCCTGGACTCCGCGGAGGTTCGCAGAGATCTCCCTTGTCAGGCACTCCTTGTCACTGCGAGGGGAGGGATGTGCAGCACCTCTCCTGAGCCCCCAGCAAACCAATCTGCTCCTGTGCTCCAAGATCTATCACGTTTGGCCACGACACCATCAATCCACAGGCAGCTCTGCACAGAATCCCAGGAGTTTCTCTATCCCAGACCCTTTTCCCTTTAGTTTTTAAATAAATGACTTAGCCCCCGGTCATTATCAGAATCTCCAGTTAAATTAAGAGATACTGTTATCATACTCATTCTCATGTGACCTTTTCCAAAAAGAAGTTCTTAGTAAACACAGCAGGGAGCAAATCATCACAATCCTGCTAAAACAGAACACACTTTTGCACATGTAGTTAAAGATTCTATTTATTCTATGTCTGGAATCTGTTTATCAATCTACAAGACAGCATTGTTAAGACCTCTATATAATTTCTCAATTTCCTTTCAACTCTTTCAAGTTAAAAATACAGAGTTCCAGCTGCATCTCTGATGAGATGGGGGAGAGGTAATGCACAAAATATTGCAGGCACACAGCATCACTCCAGAGAGCCAACCTCTCACAGCACTGAAGAACTACACCTGTTATGCTAAACGAGCCACTAGTCTGGAAAACATGACTGATGGGTCTCTGCCTTGGGTAATTTATTCCATATCTGCATAGCTGGATAACTATGACTGATATGGATTTCAGAGCCAGGGAAATGGAGCTGACTGTAATATAAAAATCAAGAACAAGACCATAGCATTTTACACTTAGTTGTTTAAGTCCATTTCAACTGTTGTTAAAACCTTTATAGTAAAGAATGTCAATTAAGCAGTTATACTTACTGATGAATCGGGGAGGTGGTCCTCTTCTTGAGAAAAAGAGCTATTAAAGGCTCTAAACGTTTCACTGTTCTGCTTGTGCTTTTCAATTGTTGCTTGGATGACCTGAGACAAAAATCCGATCAGAGAGAGTTACAAAAACAGTCCTGGAAAAATTATTTCATAGGAAACATATTAGAATTATCATTTTAGTGAATAAACCCTCATATTTGTATAAAAGAAACTTAAAAATCTTAGTGACTAAGAAAGCTATTGCAAGCTCACTAATGTTAACTTAAAAGCCAAGAACGCTATCTGTCAATGTTTCTACATTTCAGCCTTCAAGAATATACTATTTATTTCAGGACCCTTTTTTCTTCTCTGACTGCAGTTGGGGACTGCAGGAATGATCAAGAATATACTATTTATTTCAGGACCTAGGATTTTTTTTCTTCTCTGACTGCAGCTGGGGACTGCAGGAATGGGAATCCACCCAAAGACTATGTGCACCCCACACAGAAAGCAGGTCAGCAGTGCAACCTCAGCAGGAGCACAAGAATTCTCCACAAGCTGCTCTGCCAATTGGACTACCGAGCCTCCGCGCACAGCCTCATTCACTCAGAACCCCGAAAAGATGGTTTTTAAAACAGAAAGTGCTGACTGTACAGTGATTTCCACCCATAACATACTGTTTTCGCATTACCTGAATCCATTCCCTCTTCTCCTCTTCTGTCCTGTAAAAACAGAAGAAAAATACACAGACCTTATTATTCTACTTTCAATATTTTCAGTAAATCTAATTATTTATATTTTCCAAATATTTATATCTATCAAGATTTTCACTTAGAGAGGCATTAAACATTGCCTCTAACATTGTTAATAATTATTTACCTTTATTACCAAACAAAATAAATGCCAAATACATGCAAATTATCACCTCAGTGAAATCCCTAAGCACTACTATCAACATCTCACACATCTAGCAAAGGAAATCAACATTAATAGGTTCTGACTTAGGACCAATGAATTTTCTTAGGTATGTTACATAATTATTTCTGCTACCCATCTCCTCCTGATTTAAAGTTATGTCATACTAGCGCTGTCATATTCCCTAGGTATAGATGCCTACACAAATATTCCCAAACCTTGAAAAGCAGAACAAACACCATACCTGGCTTGCAGCTCCAGTGATCTCTTTTTTCCTGTTATTGAAAACGTATGAGCCACATTTTGCTTGGCAATTTCTTGGACCTGCAAAAGCAACAAGTCTTGTTTGTCTCCATCGTATTTTAATCATTTTTAATGACTCCAAAATTCAATGCTCATTCTTTGTGATATTTAGGGTGAGAGGACCGCTCAGATAAAACACAGTGCAAAGGTTGGAATGACAAAGGATCCTTTCCGTAACCATTTGTCTGGTGACTAAACTCCAAACTCCGTATCACCAACTGGCCCCATGCAATGGTAGGGGAAAAAGTCAGTTCCTGCCCCTGGCAGATAACAATGTAAAGCTTTCAATCAAAGTATGTTTACAGCCACTGTTTTTTTTTAAACCTGCTTTCCATTATCTCATAATGATAAATCATAAAAAAAAAAAAAAAAAGAGAGAGACTCAAACCTGCAGTCCTGCAATGTCCATTTTCTCTCGAACACTGAACTTCTGGCCTATCAGCCTCAGTTTTGGCACACAGTAGAGCACCATGCTGTTAAACTGTAGCAAGGGAAGATGATAAATGCAGTGGTTATGGGCAGGACAGGGCTTACATGTTAACAGTTTAGGACTCTGGCACAGCTTCCTCTAAAACGTAACTCTCCAGGAGGGATTTGAGGATTGGCTGGGATCACACATCGCTATGTGCAGGCAGGGGACAGACAGAGGCACCTTGGGCAGTCCCTGCTCCTGCTCCCTCTCCTTCCCGTGCCTGCTCTCTCTGGCACCAGTTCAGCTGCCTCGAAAGCCAACGAGGGTCCGTGTCTCAGCCGGGTGGGAGCTGGACACCCCAGCCAGCGACACAGCCCCCGTGGGCGCCCGGCAGGAACGTCGCCCTCCTCGGAGCCGCACAGGAAAGCGCCCTCGGAGCTGACAAACCACCAGCCAGGAACCACACGGGAGGAGGAGGAGGAAGGAACTCTCCGAAAGAAAAGCCTCCCGTGGGTGAAAGCTGCTCATACGGAGACCAGGAGGACAGAGGAGCGGCTGCTTCACAGCACAGCCCTGGGAAGAGCAGAGCAACAGAGAGAAAGACTCACCAGGAATAAATACCTATCCTGCGCCGTGCCGTTTTTGGCTGAAAGTTTCTGAATGTGTCCTTCTTTAATGAGTTCATTGGCTGGGTTTACAATATCCTCTTCACCGCCAAGTCGCTCGTAGACTTCCAAAAGCTTGTGCATCTTTTCCTGTAAGTGCAGGAAAGCCCCAGCATTGCTTCTATTTCATATAAAATCCTATAAACATTAAAATTCCTTCCCAGTCAGTATTCAAACTGATATAGGTGACCAGTTCCTCCCCTTGCAGCTGTTACATTAAGTGCTGCAGCAGTTTTAACATATCAAAATAAGAAAGCTGCTTAAATCCTGCTACTGAGTAATAGCATTTGGAAAGGTTTGGCTTCCAAGCCACAAGCTGAGCTGATATGCTCCACATGGCACTGTCAGCACATGATGAGAAAGGGAGTGCAGATGTCCCTGCAATTACACTGAGAAACATGCCCCAAAACATCGGCAAAGCACACCTGAATCCCTCTATAGATTAAGCTGGAATTTCAGGTCTTCATACACTTTGCATATTCTCATTTGACTTGAAATATTTCATTGTACGTATACACCACCCCAATTCCTGTCCTCAGCTCAATTCCTCTGACCAAAGATTAAATAAATGAATGCACTGCAAAGCAAAATGGAAGTGGAGGGGGGAAAAAAAAAATCCTCAAAACTGAGAGCTCCTAACAGGAGAGCTCCTGTCTGTGGAGCTGCTAAAGGGTAACGACAGAAACATTCACAATAAAACATGCTCTTCTCAAGATGTACTGCATTTGAACAGAAATAGATGGTTTCAAAACTGGATTTCCTGGGACATTTGAAAATACCCAGACACCAGCTGCCTCCTGCGCAATAACGGCAGCGGGGTCCCACGCGTCCCCGCGGGGACGGGCAGCGTGACGGGACGGGCTGCCTGCCAGCCTGCAAAGGGGAACTCAACCCACGGCCCTGGTCTGGGAGAGCAAAACGTGGCCCTGCCTCCAAATACCCGAATACCTGCCCCCTGGAATCACTCATAGTGCTTCTAAGCCAAAAAAAATCATGTATAAATCGAACCAACCAACAGGAAGAGCAATGGAAAAATGGGGGAGAAAGAGATAGAAGCTGACTGAAGTTAAGATGAAAACATACACGCGCATAAATTATGCTAACATGCAGTCTAAAAGGCCTCACTGAAGAGCTTTAAGGTGAAGCTTCCAAAGCCTGCATTGCCTCCATCTGCCCAGCCTTTGAATTCAGGAAGTTTACCAAAGCTACTGATACACACTAACATTTCTGTGCATTGAAATCAAACCAGAACCACCCTTAGTCCTGTAGGACTTGCACTAAAAGTAAAACAAAATCTGCAAGAACAATGTCTTATGTCTAAATCTAGTTAGAAGACCTAAAAGTAATGAAGTCTAAAGGGAGCTACGACACCCAACTTACGTTTAAACCCTACTACACTGCATTTGAGGTCTCTCTGGTTTTACTTCAGTGAGACTATGACAACGGAGAATGGTGGGTTCAGGTGAACGTTTCAGGTGACAGTCCCACCTGCAGTGGCTACTCACCATCTTGCGTATGGCTGCATTCGAATGGTTGGCTGCTGTAGAGATGAGCTCCAGGGACTCTGCAATTAAAGTAGCAACAGTTACATACAACATATTTTATAAATATATATATAAATCATTCTACAGATTATATCTGTTAATAGCACAGTTCTTTTCATCTCCCTGATCAGTGTTTCTGCTGCGAAACAATTATTTCAAAAGCAATTGTCCTTCTGCAAACTGAAGAGAATATTTATAAGCAGTTGCTTATACAATCAGTTCTGTGGGTTTAGCTGGATCACACACAACCTAGTCATCTATCTTTCTCTCCTAAAAGTGCAGCCAAATCAAAGCACAAGAGTCAAATAATAATAATAATAAAAACTTTTATGAACGAGCCTACCTCTTACAGTTAATTTAGGTTTCACTCAAGCCTTCACACATTTGAAGAATGTTTTCCCAGAACAGGGCTTGTGCGCTTATAGTACCATAAATTCTACTTAAAATTTTCCCAGCAGAATTACAAGCTCCTCCAAACCAACAGAAGTCTTTCTCTCCTCTTTCTTTGTGCTGATCAATTCTAAACTGTATTCTTGAAAGCCTATATACTCAGGTCAGTTTTTATTTTCCTTCTCTAACTCTTGCAAGGATGTCCTCCTATATTTGTATTTGGACATAAAACGGATTAAATGAAAAATCCAGAGTTGTTTCAAGGCACCTTTCTGCAGCAGCTACCATGTAGCACTTTTGTTACTGTTTATTTGCCAAAACTGCCCTCATTCCCAGGGTTGACACATCAGCCCTGTCCTCCACTCCAGAAGGAGCCTGTCCTGCTTCGTGCTGAATTGGCCAGCGCCTGGTTAGGTCTCATCTGCATTTCTACTACTGGCCCTACAAGAAGGCATCCAAACACCCTGGGGAAGGAAAAGCTCTCCCGCGTTCCACCGTGCTCATCAGATGGACAGGAGCTTACACGTACTTTCGGCATCTTTCCTGTCGGGAGACTCCTCTGGGAGTTTCTTTAGGTAGTCCTTGAGGAGCAGCTCGTAGCGGGGGATGCGCTGCACCGGCTCCAGCATGTGATGCTGCAGGGTCAGGTTTCCGCACACCTCCTGTTTCTGCAGCCAAGACAAGCACAGCAGGGTTGGGGTTGGTCCATCTCTGGTGTTAAACACAAGCTCATGCACAGGCAGAGGCACCAAAGAAACCTCCTCAAGTTATCAGCGCTGACAGGTTTCATGTGAACCTTCGACCCTCATCCCTGACATTTTTGGTAGACATACAGCAGGTTTTGTGTGTTTCTCCACATAATCAGCAAAATTCTTTCCCCACATGGCCCTACACAGCATCTACATGTAACCATGAACTACATTTCTGTTTATAGCAAGGGCAGCAAATTTACTATCTCCAAGTTTTACAATGCAGCTCTTCCCAGAAAACATGACTACGGTGGAAGGAACTGGAGATTCCAAGAAGGATGAGGACACACAGCAGCGCACTACGGCGCATTTCCTCCTGGTTTCTATTACCAAATCCACTAACGATAATATTGTCTGTTATTTTTTTATTCCTGCAATATGATGAACCTTAAAACTGAACAGCAATAGAGGAGAAGAGAAGGAAGCCCCTCAAGGATTCATGTCAGTAGTACTAAGGTTTCAAGTATATCCTCTACTCAAAGTCAGCAATGACAAAATAAGTTGTCCCAAAAGGAAAATTTTCACACTATGCGGTTTACCAAAGTTTAGAGACTTTACACCACAAATGACTTTCCTATAGGAGACAGAAACATTTGTTTTGTGGCCTATTAAATCATGTGAGAATCTGAAATACAGAAATAAACACTAAAAAAAAAAAAAAAAAAAAAAAGGAAGAGGAAGGCGGGACTTTAAAAGTGCTGGCACAAGTAGAAAACCAAAAAAAGAAACACTTGTAATAAACTCACCGTCTATAAAGATTCAGCCCCAGTAAGGTGGATGCAAACTAAATAGAGGACATGCTTTAATATTAAAAGCATTTGACCTTTATCTTCAAGGTCAGCTAAAGCAAATTTGAAAAATCACCATTATTCATGTAAGTGATGTTTGCTTTTTCTTTTTGATTTTCTTGAATTTAGTATAGCTAAGAATTGCTGATGTCTTGGCCTGGACAGTTATCCCTTAGCAGCTGGGTGGAAAGTCACAATTAAAATCCAAATGCAACTTTAAATTTATTTGATAATAAAAATAATACAGACAAAACCACGGAATGAGGTTTAGTTCATTCTCCCGCACACTTCTGCGATACACTACGAGCTTTGTTTTGAAGCCGAGAGGTTCCCCGAGTCGTCTCTCTGCCTTGTGCAGCTATGGTCAATAACACAAGCAGAAGGCGCTGCAATATTGCTGCTGAAATAGCCCACGCTGGAAGAACTGCCCTATATTTACACGGTTATCAGTGGGCCTCAGAGCTGCCTCTGCCAGATGTGCTGCCTGCTAGTACTGCAGGGTGAAGTTTTGCTTGTGCAAGAGCAGAAACACCGCGAACTCGGGCAGCTGCCGGTGCCGGTGTCTGCGGGTGCCGTGGGGCGAGCGGGGCTGGGCTCTGGCTCTGGCTCTGCAGAGCCCCCCGCAGCCACACACCCGGCCGGGCTTACACAGTGAGGGGCTAAAGAAAGGCCACGTGCAGCAGAGCTCGGGTAGGAAAGGAGCTTTCCTGGCTGCAGCTCTCCTCTGCGCTCCTCCAAGCTGCAGCTCCTGCGGGAGCCGCCGCGCCGGAAAGCGCTGACCCTCCGCAGGGCCTCTCCTCTCCTCCTCTGTGCTGGGGATTGCTCCATTCCCGACAGCTGGCTGAGCCCCACAGTGCTCCCATTTCAGTCACAGCTGGGCTCCATCCTCGGCTTAACCCTCTCCCTGCCGGCCCTCGCTTCCCAAGGGCAACGTGCGCTCCCAGCACCTGCAGCAGGATGTTGGGAGCCGCTGGAGCTCCAGCCCACGGAGAGCAGCGGGATGCGCACACAGGCTCCGGCATAAGCAGCACTCTCCCTGCTCCCTCAACACCTTTCCTATACCAAGGGCAAAAATCCAAGCTAAGGGTCCTCATCCAGAGCTGGGATCCTCTGGAGCTCGGTGCTACCGCACCTGCCTCAGGAAAGGAGCGGACCAAAGAGCAACCTCCACCCGATGCAATGCCCAGGTCCTAGCACATCAGCTGAGATGAACATATATGGATTAAAAAAAAAAAAAAAAGGACACTTAAAATTAGTAATAAGGAAGAGAAATTAAAAGCTTTATAACAGGGCACGTTTAGTGTCAGAGCAACAGTGCAGGGACAGGATATCCTGCATAGGGGGGGACCAGCAAGGCAGAGTGAGGAAGATGATGGGTGACAGTCAGCAGTGCCATGGCAGGACTGTGTCACACGCATGGTTTTTCTTCCCTGTGCTGTATAAATATCAACAGAAAATAATGCAAAGTGGAGCTATCTCTTACTCTCCTCCAGGAAAGACCTCATTCTGATTTGTTCTCATACCAAGATGGCAAAGAGGAAGTGCATCAAGAATTACTGGATAAACAAAATCCAGTCAAAATTAGGGTAAACTGTATTGTTACGACTAATTTCCTCTCATTTTGTAACTTTCAAGTCTTAAGTACCACCTATATATAGAAGATGGTAGAAAAAGCCACCTACATGAGAATCTGTGTCGAAAAGCAAAAGAGAAGAAAGGACTCCATTAAATTTGGCATTTTAGTATCACAGCAAAACTGTCTTACAGTTAAACACTATAAACTGCATTGGAAGCAAAATAAAACAAATAAATAAATGAAGATTTCAGATCCACATTAAGCCAATTAACAACATACCTGTATATTCTGAACAACGTCTTTGAAGGGTGAAGACCTCTGCATACATGTGTTCACCATGTCCATTGCCCTGTCAAAGTTCTTTACGTATTCTCCATACATCTTCAGAAAAGGAGCCAGCTTTTGTAGGATATCTCCTAGCCGGGGGTTCGTGTTCCTATTGGAGAGAGACAGGTAAATAGAGAACTAGGGAAATTCAGTGAAGAAAATTAAAACGGAGTCTCCCATGAAGTCTCCTCTAGGATACACAAAATCTAAACTATGCTATGATGGTGCCTTTTCCTTCATTGAGAAGTAATTGTATTTTTAATATTTCACAGAACTATCTATGAGGCCCAAAATCAGCAGTTTCCTTCTTTCATAGTACTGCACACCTAGGAGAGTAGAAATAGAAGAACATTTTTTGCAACATTTCGGACTGAGAAAGAATTCTTGCAGTGTACACAGAAAATGAATATTCATTTTGAGCCTTGCATTCAGGAATGTTTAAGAAACTCCATACTAATGTATAAAATAAAAAGAGAACTGTATCACAAGTAACAGCTTTGTTGCAAGGTTGGACTTTCTGACTGCTAGAGTTTCTTAAAATCAGATTTTAAAAATACTTGTAATGCAAATTACCCACCATTCCTGTGTAATCCTTGTTTTGAGCTCAGGAAGAAGAAATTGTCCATGGAAACAATAGATGGAAGAAATATTTGAAAAGATGCCTGTTATCACTTCAGATGAAATACCTGCTTCTGACAGCTTAGTGCAAAAAACCTGCACGAGAAAACAAGGCAGTTCTTTAACATATATGGATTGGAAAAAACAAAACAAACAAACAAAAAAAAACACACACTGGCTTTAGATGTCAATATTTTAAAGCTGACTGCATAAGAACAAGGCCACTTGACTGAAATTACTGAAGAAATGAGACATCCTGTATTTGTAAGTGTAAACTGCATAGATCAATCAGGCCATGACAAGTACCTACTCATATTTACATGTAACAAAACAAACCATTTCATTATTTCATTTCCCTGTGTGAGAAAAAACATGCTATACTGAAAAAAGTAAAAGAGACTCCATGGACTTCTAACCTTGAAACTCAGAGTGAAGGGGATGGCAGAAGACACCACCATCGCTCACAGGAAGTGAACATAGGTCATTCAAAATTGAGTTACCTGATCCAATAGATGGAGTCTTTTAACATATGCTTCTTCTGTATGGAGCAGTTCATTTGCAATGTTGAACAGCTTCTGGGGCTCTGAATACTGGGGTTAAAAAAAAAGAGTCAGAATTACACAATTCATGTGTACCTGCAAACCTGACTTTCGTCAACATTCCCTTTTCTGTTTTCTCAGTGGCCAGATTCCCTGCCAACACAGAAGCCTGAAATGAACAGCACTAATGCACACTCAAATCTGATCCATATTCCTTTTCAAAGGATCCGGCAAGCTGCTTTGGGAAAGACCGTTCACTAATGCAGTCAATGGCTGGCCAGGATGTCATTGTAATTCTTTAATGAAGAACCAGAAACATCCTCCAAAACTGGAAGCACACCTAGCCTACCTATACAGTTACTGAGGCACTGGGCAGCAAATCGGCTTTTGTCCGTTTTTAATTCGAGTCTTGTGCCTACAAAACCAACAGAGACCAGAAAAGACCCCTTTGGTCATGTGCTGAATCCATGGCCAGAATGGAGTTGCTGCCAGTGGTAAATACCAAAGGACTGTGCACAGTTTTAAACTCCCACCAGTCCCCTGGAAAATTTCAGCACCAGCGACAAGTTTTATATTCATTAAAACAAATAAATAAATACACGACTAATACAAAAACTTGAAGGCAGTTATAGAGTCTCAACTTCACTTATTTTTTAGCCAAAAACTATATAGATTTTCAGCCCTAACTACTTAAAAATACTTAGTAATGTAGTAATAATTAGTATGATACAGATTTCAGCTTTTGACAAACTCTCTACATCTTTGTAAAGCTCTAGACTTTAAACTCCATGCTTACAATCAAACCAAAATTAGGTTCCAGAACCGAGGGCTGGCTGGTTGTTTTTTTTAGGAACAGAAACATCTGAAAAAGGCATCAAGGATGATCAAACATATGGAAATTTTACTGGGCTGGGTCTGGAAAAAAGACAATTGAGAGGAAGATAAGAGAACTGTAAATGCTTAATGGAGCAGAGTATCAACTGGCTGCAGTTATTCACCCTCTTCTCTGTGGAAAAACTAAAGAGCATGAACTAAAATGAACACGACCCGGCTTCAAGACCAGGAGACACCTCCCTTCACAACATGGTACTGAGCTGTGGAGCCCTCAAACGTGTGACCCAGTAGACGGCAAAGAGTTGCCAGGGGTTCAAAAAAAACCCAAAACTACTGGAAAAATCATGGGGAAAAAAATGGTGCCTGGCATTTCTGCAGACACCCACAGAGGCAGCAGCCCGGCAGGACAGGCAGGGAAGCCCAGGGGCCCGTCACACACATGGGAAGGTCTCCGAGATGCTCATTGCTAGATTGCAAATTAACTGTAACCACCACAGTGGAAAACCTGGACAGTTCAATGAAGAACAACAGAAAAATACATATATATGTATACACACACACACACACACACACAAATCCAGGCTCTTCCTGGATTTGAAAAGGCACTCGTCATCTTTCCTTTAGAGCAATTCCTCTCTTCTTCTGCATGAACTTGGATGCAGACCACCATTCCATGAAGAGACTTTTGACACGTACTCTACATACCCCTGTTATTGAAATTATTTCAAGAAAACTCATTTTTCTTTTAAATTATTTTAACATCCTGCTCCATTTTTCCATATGATAAATATGGAGGGAAAAACAAAATCCCAGCCCAAGCTGGGACTTGCTCTGGGGAGGGAAAAACAAAATCCCAGCCCAATAATGCTCTGGACTTGCTATGGGGAAAACAAAACATATTATAGCATATAATGAAACGTCCCTCAATCCCAGGAACTACAAGTATCTCTCACCAAGAAAAAAAATTATTTGCCAACTTTTCTGAGCACAGAGAGGAGAGTCTGAACAAAAAGCCCTGATGTAATCACACTGGCATGCTGGCCACGACCAACATCCCTTGATTTGTTTGAATTAGGAATTTGAAAAATAATTATTTTCAACCAAATACATTTCTCCTGAAAACTAAACCTTTACATAGCACAGGCACTTTTAACCTCCTGGCCCTCACCACCTGCAGCTCAGTTTATATTTCCCCCAAACTTGCTGACATCTATTTAGACAGCAAGCAAAGGCTCAACGGAATTTTAGCTCGAGTCCAGCATAACATTTTAAAGACCATCTACATTTTGAGCTGCTGTTTTTCACTGGTGACAGAGCTAGACACGTTTTTGAGCTTATCTGCCACACGTCCACCTTTCCACAGACCCAAGATCGCAGAAATAGTGTTTAATAAAACCCATTAAACAGTATGGCTGGTTCAGCTCTTCTGGTCTTCTGCATTTTGCACCCTGAAAGGGGAGATTTGAAGCCCACTCCAACCTGGGTTATACATCCTACGTAGCAGCCTTACCTGGGGCTCTGCTCACGCTGGCACACGTAACGGTGTCACCTGAAGCACAGGGGCCTCGCGCAGCCCCGCAGCCCCAGCGGGAGCCAAACCCACACCTGACTTATCAGCTCCACCTGGGTAAATATCTGAGGCAAACCCCACACTGAGGATTGCTCAAGACACATACGCTAGTTTTGAGGCCTCTATCCCAGCAGATAACTTTCTTTAACATTAAAGACAAAACACAGCACTAAGCCTGACGTTTAACTGCAAGCTCCCCAGGAACCCAAGCACGGCTGCTGGGCACCAGCAAAACACCAGTGACGCTGCAGAGACACCACACGTGTCCCTTGCGAGTCACGTTCGTACAGCTGAGGTGTCAAATAGTCACTCCTCACATCGTGGGGCTTTTAGCTGCTGTGTTCCTTGTCAACACACTCAACTTTGGTACAAACCGCTGTTTTGCCAAAGCCTCTTTCTGAACGAGTGCTTGGCACAACTGCAGCGTATCGCAGCTATCCCTGTGGGGAGGGCACCACTGTAAATCACTTCATGGTCTTTCTAAAACCCTTTAGCCGGATAAGCAAGAAGAGAAAGGAAGCGGTGGGTGTTTCTTTGGTGGCACAGGAAGCTTTCGGCAGCATTTGGCATCACCGTGACACGATGCTCATCTGCTGCTTTGCCCAAGCACCAGCATTTTAGACCTACCGAGCACGTGGCAGTACCCGTCCACAAAACAAAACAAAGCACAACACAACACTAACAGTTCCTTCCCCCCGAAAATAGAGGAAATACCAGGCAGACACCCACAGAGCCAAGGAACCGCAGGGCTCGGCGGGCTGCAGAGGCAGAAGCCTCTGCGCCCGCACCGGCACCGCGGCCACCAGCACTGGGGAAGCCTGGGCCACCCGGGGCCGCCAGGCCAGGGGACAGTCCCCATGCCGGGGACGCGGCTCACACCATTGCAGAGACCAACCTAGTGATTGTGCAAAGCAAGCTCAAAGTAAAAAGGCAAAGTGGGAAACTGGGAGGAGAAGTGAGGCAACGCGCTGCAGCGACGGCTTTTCTGGTAAGCGGCGTTGCGCAAGCACGGTCAGCATCCCGGCTGCAAGGGGCTCGCATGGAATCTCCTGAGGAAACGGCTAGGATATCTTAAAAATCATACACAGTCACGCTTTAAAAACGCAATGAACTACCACCAGTCCCCACCACAAAGAGCACAGAAGGCCCCAGAAAAAATACAGGAAAACTTCCTATGCAAAAATACTGAAAACAATATGAGAAAGTTATCCTAAGCTGAAGCTCTTCTCTGCATCTCAGTGTTTCCTTTTCCTTAGGTTAGCCAAAAGAAAACTGATGATGGGATAGCATTTTTCTAATTCAGCGTTATAATAAACACAGACCAGGCAATTCTGCATCCTAGGTAGCTTGCACGGCCTTTAAATATTACTGAATTAGGGAGGAAAATAAACAAAAACAAAACAAAAGCTTCATAACCCGCTGCAGATGGTTTACCCACTGACAGAACAAATCCAGATGCTTCCACGGAATGTGAAAAGACTGATTACTTTGCAGTGCTCCCTAGTGTTAAATCAGGAAGTAGAAGTAATAATTTCACTTCCTCTTCAAAACAAACTATTTTTACTTTTTTTTTTTTTTTTTAAATAATACACGCAGTCTTGCCCACAGGTCAGACTTGGAGGACGACAGTCACACTTTCCAACACAAGCTGCGCAGTGAAATTAGAAGCGAAACTCCGGTGAAGCCCTGCAGGATGGGAACACAGCAGGGCCTGCACAGGGCCACGTGGGACATCATTATTGCTCTTATTTTACAGAGCAGGTTCTCAGGAAGTGGGGCTGGTGGAAAAAGGCCCTTTTCCTTTTCTTGTGATTTTTAGCAAGTGTGCACTTTTCCCAAAGAAAAATATTTAAATAAAAAGATGGGAAGAGGTGGCGGCCACATCAGCAGCCGTATCCTGGTGCTGGCAGGCACCATGGAGCACTGCCACGGGCAGCAGCCCCAGCCCACGTTGATGCCCTCTTCTCCTTGGCAGCCGCTGAGGCCAGTGTGTTCCTGTAGCTACAGACCTTTCCTGGGACACTATCACAACTAATGAGGCCCCCTTGTTCATTTTCCTTTTCACACTAGATAGCCATAAACGCAGCCCGCGATTTCCAAGCGTGTTCAGCAGGCTGAACGGAGCCGCGCGAGCGGCCGCGGCGTCGCTGCACCAGCCGCGGGACGTGCGAAGGCTCAGGGGGAGGACGGGGAGAGGCAAAGCTGAAAATAGGAGCGAGAAAAACAAATCTGAATTTTTCCTACCCATGTTTATTCATGAGTTTCCCTGAACTCGATATCCCAGGAGTTGCTGGGCCGTCATTAGGTCACGCTGCAGCTGCGCGGCTCGTGCGCTCTGCTCCAAGCGTGCCAAAGCCTCCCGGCAACGCGAGTCCCACCGCAGCACCGCTGCTCCCTGCCCAGCCCGGGGCTCGGCACAGGCAGGGGAAGCAGGGACAGGAGCCGGGGCCCTGCGCCAGCCCGAGGGGAGGAAGGGTCTGTCCCTCCTGCCTGCAGCTGGGCTGCAGCTACGGGGGGACCTGGTGGAGCCTGGGCAGCCCCAGCGCTGCCTTCTTGGAGGTGGAGGGAATGACCTGCAGCTGCAGAAGCTGGGACGCCCACACCAATGTCAAACTGCCCCACGCTCACCCGTACTGATGAAGAGGCCCCATGGGAAGGGGAACAGCCTCAAGGCTTCTCACAGGAAGACAACTAATTTCTTCCTCTAGAGATCTCTCTTTTGTAGATTCCCCAAGCTACACAAGAGCATCATCGCTGTAACTCAGTCCCCTTTAGCAACATTATTTCATATTATATAAATATTTAACCTAAAGAACAAGACTAACACAGAGCTATCCGAGCTCTAACATCTTAGAAACATTGGTATTTGGCAGTAAAGAGCATCTTCATCGTGAGGTAGAGGCAGTCGCCCAGGAAAGGCAGTTGATTTGATACTGCGCTCCTAACCCTAACAGCAAATTTAAACACCAGATTCAAGACTGTACAAGTTAGTGCATTATTTTCTTGCTGCCATGTTACACCCAGTAAATATATAACTCTAATTGATGCACATCCCTGCCCGACTAATGATGGCCCCCCTCAGCAGAGCCAAAGCTCTTCCAGAGATTGTGAAATCTGCATGGAGTTTCTAGAGTTTTTAGGTTCTCTAAGACTAAAAACAATAGATACAAAAACATAAATTACTGTATTTATGATCAAAATTGTCAAGGCATGTATGTCAGAACAGGCTTTCAAGTGTTGCTTTGATGGCAGCTGTTCCTCTGATGGTGATGGTGTCCGTGACACCAAAATCAGCGCTCCTGTCCTTCCCGCTGACTAACCTCCTACTGACAGGTCTCAGAGAATGTGACCAACTCTTGGCACTTGCAATTATAGAGACATAATAAACATGCTCTGTGCCCATTCTACCAAGTTTCAGGTGGCAACTACACCTGCTTCTTGTACATTGAGACAGTAAATAAAATTTCCTGGATAGGAGGGAGCTGAGTATGCTTTCACCTAAAACTAATATTATAATTATGTAATTCCATGCTTTCGAAGAGAGTTGCTCCTTATTTAGAGATCAGTACTACAAGAATTCTTCAATCTTGTACTCTTTTGCTGAGGAATAGGGTTGTAAAAATTGTCAGGTGCTTCCATTTGAACGAGGATGGTATTCCCTGAAAATGCAAAAGGAGCAGTACAGCAAAGGAGCACTGGGTGGGAAACACTGGTCCTGGGCAATGATATTACCAATACAATCACGTGAGCTGAAAGAATCCAATCATGCAAGACTGAGCTTGGCAAAAACTTAAATTAAAAGCATAAAGTTAAGTTGAGTCTGTTTTTTTTTTTCCATAACTTTCTGCAGATACGTTTGTCTCGTCACATGGTGGCTTCCCCTCTTTGAAAAAAGGGTCACCACAAACTGTCCTCAGAAACTAGACTCATGATGATGAGTATAAATAAAGCCCTGAATGGCAGGACTTTATGCACAGCATACACTTGCATACAGATTTCAATACTCCTTAATAATCATTGACTGATTCAATCTAGAAGCTACCGGATGAGTTTTAACTGCCATCTTTTCCAAAGGAACAAATTCTTAATATTCACTAAATCAAGATATACTCGGTGACCGAGCAGAACCACACAATTCACACAAACTGATGTGTGAACACTGCGGCTCACTATTCACAGGTTGCTAATACTCACTGTATTCTAACTAAAATATCCAATACAAAATTTAATTTCATGATCCCCAAGTAGAATCAAAAAACAAATAGAAAATGCACAAAATAAACAGAACAGCAACATTTTGCATCTGCCATTTTTTCTTTCTGGAGAATCTTACAACTCACTCTATTACCAGTATTTCTAAAAATAACCATCTCGATAAACAGATAATCAAACAAATCTGTCGTTAATGTTATACAGCTGCAGCACGACTTGCAACAACCTGGATTACATTACTCTGTATTCAAGGAAAATCTCTTCTAGCTACAGTTTCTTAAACAGTAATTGGATACAATTTACAGAACAGCTACACTCAGAAGAATTTCCCTGCATATAAAAAAGTCAAACCAAAAGAAGTACTTTGTCCTTATTAAAAATGACAACAACATTAAAAAAAAAAAAAAAGGGCAAAAAACGACCTGCTTGAAGAGACATCCCATACCCGTGACCCTCCACAAGGTAAAGCCCTGACCCTGCAGGATGCCCTAACCGATTAACACTTCATACACCACTGAGACCCACTGAAAGCAAAAGGAAGCGGAACCTAAACAAACCCAAACACGAGGCGTGAGATTTTACCTGCAAAAATCCTTAATCAAATTTCAGCAACTTACCTCTGGATGGGATTCATTCTCTTATAGGAAGCTTTTTAAATCAAGAGTGGAAACTTTCTAAAAGACACAATCTAGATCAGGGACAAGTTATGATCTGCATCAGGCAGGAAATTAATGCCTGCAATGATCGTTTGACAAAAAATAAAATGAAATGAAAACATGCCCAACACACGAAAAGTGATGCAAGGCATGCAAGGCATCTCTGGCCAGGAGCTGTCTCCAGAACAAGGAACTGCCTTACCTTGTTTACATCCAAATACTCTAACTTTGGCACTTCCGCTGTCTCTTGTTCCTCGCTACTTCCTTCATCAATGTCACTGTCCTCCTCCTGCGTGGAGTCTCGCTTCTGCTCCGCGGAGGGAGCCTTGGCACCCTTCTTGTCCGCGTCCATGTCCCCGGGATTCCCGGCCGCGCCAGGTTTCCTTTGTTCTGCGCCGTCTTCGTTGGGGAAAGTTTCCCCTGCCACGCTGCAAGAAGGGCTGTCAATGCCACTGTCCCTGTTGGGGATTTTACCGTTACCGCTCAGCTCCGCGGTGGAGTCTTTATTGCCGAGCTCTCTCGAGGGCTCTTTGCTCACGTTCACAGCAGTGCAGTCTTCGTGGCTTTTGCTATCGCCGATGCTTAGCTCTTTAATTTTCATTATGTCTGTGCTGGGTAGGTCCGCGCCGCCCGGCACGTCTGCCTCGTTGTCATCTGCCTCGCTCTTCTCCACGGCCGAGCTGCCGCTGGGAGCTGCCGCGTCGCAGTCGCACGAGCTCGACTGCTTCGAGGAGTCCAGGCCAGGTTCCATCTTCAGAGCTAAATTTAGCTGGTTTCTTTGAAGTATATGTACAGGTTGCCTATAGGCGGAGAGAGAGCACCCCGGTCATTCGCGCTTACAGTCAGAGATGTCAGGAGTGCCTCAAGAGACAAGGCCTGATTTTCATTTGGCTCATGTTACACTTCTCAACCCCCTGACAATCCAAGGAAATGGGGATGTGCACATCAACGCAACAACATTCACCCAACAATTTCAGATAAAAACACACCACTTGGACACAAAAGTTTGCCTGCGATGCCTGGAAGAATAGTTCATTTCAGTGGTTTGGAGACAGGAGAATCATCTTTTAAAGGAAGAATTTGGTTATGAGGTTGTTTAAACAGGAACTGACTTTCTTCAATGTAACACAGTAGTCTTTGCAAGAGAAAGGACATTTCTGAAGCACAAGAACACACTCCTTTTCCAGCTCTTACCAGGTTCCCCCTAGGTGACAACATGCCCTCAGACACAGCACAGTGTCTCTCTCTCTGTCTTGGTGACAAGAATCACTTTGCACAGCTTGGTCAGAGAGAATCTTTATGTTAATATTGTTTGTTAAAAGAGCTAGGATTACAGCATTAAACCTACATCAAACCTAGTTTGATGTCCTGTATATATACACACATTTTCAAAGGAAATCTCATAAGATAATTCATTACATGATATATTGCAATTTAACCATTCCCTACCTCTAATCAGCAGGTTAACATTAAGTCTGACATTTATCGAATCTTAGACAGAAAACTCAGTTATTTTAAATCTCTATTATCAAGTTCCTATAACTTTACAACAATTCTGATCTCAGCTCTACTTATGAAATCAGATCTGGACTGCTTCTTTCTAGTAGAACATTTGCTAAATTCGGCTGCTAAAGAGCAGCTCTGATGCAAACTAACAGTCATTGAAAAACATTCTTTTACAACAAATCCCTTATGCAGTCAGTCAAGCTTTGTATTTTCGGTAAAAAGACATCCTGAGAGAAGTCTCTGCATGACAACCAATGTTTCCTATTGTTCTATTTTAATTTTAAAATGCCCCAAAATAGAGATTAGACGAGATATCAAAGAAATATTTACCTAATACTTTCAAATTTCTCAATGAGCGTGTTGACTCCTGCTGATATGGGTATTTCCTCCTCTCCAGGCACTAAGCTCCTCGATGACTTGGGATCAGCTGGTAGAGGCCGAGAAGGTGCAGGAGGAATTCTCTCCTGCCCAGGTTTGAGATGGACAGGCTTAGGAGGTACTAATAAAACATAGAGAAGAAAGGGGGGAATAAATCTCCATCTTCCTTACATTAAACCAAGCCCAAAAAATCCATACAGTCAAGGCAGAAGGAGGATAATCCATTGTTTCAGGCTTCTTTACGAATTCCACCGGTGCTGCTGCAGTCCAAAACCATTTCTTACACAAAAGCAGGCTGCCCTATGCTAGGGAACAATGTCGGGTTGCTATTTTGCATGTCTAAAGCTCTACCATCAGATGCGCTAACGAAGCGAGCGCGCAGGACCTCACCGCTTCCTCGTTACCAAACAGGATGCGCGGCTCACGCTCCGCTCTTGCGAACGCTCCTGCCATCGCGGCCGCGCCGCCGAGTTCCCCTCCCGTGACTTTTCAAAACTAAAACGCTCCATTGAATTTAGCGCACTGAACTTAAGCTGGAAGGGGGGAAAAAAGGAAGAAAATAAAGAAACCCAAACCACCAAAAAATAATTGCACCGTGGGTTTCTGTGCCTTATATTTACTTGGCCAGAAACCCCACAAGCAGAATGCAACAGCTTTTCTTCCTTTCATTCTCCCTCCCCCATCCCTTTTGTGGTGTAGTCTTCATAAATTTCCTTCCTCTTTCGGTACTACATATACTACAGAAATTAAATTCACAGTTTAAAACTGCAAGCATTCTGCTTGAGATTTCATGAGGAGGTATAGGTGAAAAGTTTAATACGGTATTTTGAAAAATGTAATTAAAAAAAATGTATTCAGACCTCTCATATTGTTTGCAGAGTAAACGGTTTTGGAACTACGCAAGCAGTAACCCATGGCAACAGGTTCACATGCAGTTACGGTTTCATACAGTGAAAGCAACTTCATATAAGCAGCCCTTAAACGAGGAGATAGGCAAAATGACGGCGCGCTTACTCCCCAGGCACTTGCTGCTTGGAGCGGCGCTACCAAATCCTCGTTTCGTTTTAAATATCCAAAGAGCTAGCACGCAAATCAGGATTCTAAATGCAGGTTTTCTTAAATAACTCTTTCAAGAGCAACAATTTATTTCAAGAAACTGAGATTTTTAATGGTCCATCTGGCACATCAGCATAATGTGATTAACATTGTAATGGAGCTTTAATTAGCAACTGTTCTGAATGTGCAATTTCATGGTTACTTTCTCTAAGAGGATAACAGACACGCAGGCACCCAAAAAGCCAGCGCCTGCTGTCCCCGCTCTGCCCGAGCTCCGCGTCTGCTGCAAACTCCGGATGGGCCTCGGCGCCCGCTCCTTGCCAGTGCACAGATCACATGGATGCTCCGTGTTCGGGGTCAAGGACGACGTGCCCGAGTCTGGGGTGCGGAACGTGGCGGGGCTGAAACATGGACATGGCTGATTGCATCTCAGCACCACAAAAATAAAATCTTCTAACGATTTGAGCCTTATCAGGACACTTGGACTGACTCTCAAGATTAGCCCACTGTTCAAAATTTGGAATTCCTACCTTGAAACAGAAGCGTTCACATATTAAAGACCTACTAAGCATTTAACAACTTAAGACAGGTTTTCAGCACTCCAAGGTGAATTTTACTGCCTCCCTCAAAGGGCTGACACTGACGACAAGGGGTGTCACTGCCGTCCATGCAAAACGCTGATCCCTGGGTAAGTCCTTACTGGCAGCTCGTGGGACGCTGGGCTCAGAGGAAACATGGAGATGAAGTGTTCTTTGGGTGACTCTGAATTTGGCAATACCAGAGTAACTTGGGGAAAACGATAATTCAGCACCCAGGCGAGGTCCCTGGCTGGATTAAACACTGTTTACAAAGCACAGGATCTATACTTGAGAGCTGAGACCAAAAATTCTACGTTCAGAGTTTACAAGAAAAGAGGATCCCGCCAGCAGGCAGCTCTGCCTCGCCGAGGGACACGTGGGAAGCCAGAGCAGGCTCCGCACGATAACACGGATCATGGAGGGAAGATCTCTGTCTGCTGTGAGCAAAAGCACCGCCGCGTCACCGCCACCCGCCCCACCCAGCAAGGAGAGTTTGCAGGAAAAGTGTCACCCTGAACACAGACGGTTTAATAAAAACAACAGCCCGAAAGCAGCGCCTGGAACTGTATCCGCCCCAGGACTCCACACAGGGCTCCTTAATTTTCTCAATTGCATTTTCCTGGAGAGGCAAGAGGGAAACATTTTCCTTCCTTTGGCAGCTTCGCAGCCTGCACAGTAAGGGGGGCAAATCAGCTACACAATGCAAACAAGTCTTTTCCAATGTACAAAGTCTATAAAAGGTAAGATAAAAATATCTTTATCATCTCTCTTGTTTGCAAAGCATCTTAAGTGCAGTTTTTTTTACTGCCATGTGTAAGCTGTTTGCAGATACTTTTTAAAACTTAAATTGCAAAGGAGTAAAAGGAATTAATAAAATAACTGTTTACGTTTCATGACAATTAAGCATCTTTCAGGAAGATGACTGGCAAATCCAAGGCCAAGACTTGTAGCAGTGATCTGCAGTGTTGGACAATTAGGCTCACTCTAGCATAAAATTAGAATATTAGAACCAGATTTCAGATCAGAATCTGATTTTTGCATGCTGGGGTTGTGTGACAGCCACATTCTAACTGTGACTTGGTTCCTAATAGATGACATTGAGTAACATGACCTGCCCCAACAAGTTAGGGTCTATCAAAACAGCATTAGCAGAGGTAGCTAATCAAGAGCATGTTACTTTCTGGTGCCATTTTACCTCATCAAGGAGTTAGTCTCAGAGTCTTATGCTATATACCAGCTAGCAAAGTGCACCGACTGTGTTGCTCCTAAGCCCATGACTCTAACAGCAGAGGGCTTGGATGTGCATTTCTGAGCAGCAGAAAGAAGAAAGAGGCAAAACTGTCTCAGCGATGGACACAGATTACGCTAATCCACTTGGGTAACTTTTAACTGTGTTGGAATCAAGCCAAGTAAGTTCCCTTCAGCATTTCTGATGTTGCATATGGAAATACAAACGTACACACACACAGATATAAAAATACACACACACGCACACACTTTCATATATACATGTATATGTGTCTGTGTATATACACACACATACAAAACAGACCTTATCATAAGCAGTGAGAAGTCAGTGCTCCCCCCAACTTGAGAGGGGCTTCCCTGATCTGCACCAGCTGAATTCACTCCATTTGTTACTGAACAGGCACTTCTGCTATTCTATTTTATTAATAGTATTAACAACATTCATACAACACCCACTAAAGAAATATGGAACACTAAGACCTCAAGGATAAAGCTCTGTGAACACACAGACCTCTCTCCAGTAGAATGATTTGAGCATGAACTAAATCAGCTAAGCATTTCAGATTGCCTTCTGCTATCAGAAGAAAGAAAACTTTTTGGGGGTAGCTGTTGGGCTAAATTCAAACTCAAACCCTGCGTTCATAAAGGCTTTTGGAAATGGGGGTGCAAGAGCTCAGTTTGTACAAAACCTCCTAATGATGACCAAAATATTACAGGCTTCTTAACAGCTTTTATTTTAGGAATTCAAATATTCCTAAATATTCTGGGATTCTTCTCTCATCTAACCCGGGTAGAACGTGGTTCTTCCCGACTTCTGTGCTGCCATATTCGGGGACTGTTACCCATTTCACGGTGCTTCTTGCTGCTGTGTGGAACTACAACAGTCCAGTTGCTACCCTAGGATGTGACTGGTTTAGCTCATATTTCTCTTTTTTTAAAATATATTCATTCCACTTAGGCATTTCCTGTTGCTATGCACAGTTCTTTCAATAAATGGAAAACAGATCCCCGTTTAAACAATAAGCTATTCTTACCTATATTCTTTAAAATATTAATAAAGGTTGAAAACAATATTGCTAACTTAAACATAGACTTCACAGCTGCATGAAGCATAGTAACATGCAGGAAATATAATATGACAAGTAATCTGCTATTTCTGAATCAATTTCTTCTCACAGCCTTCCCTAAGAGGTTACCTAGCATTGGCAAAAAATGAAGATAACAATACTCTGCTAGCTAAAATTGAACCTTAGTATACAAAATAACCCTACTTTATCACAGCTTAAAATTAAAAGAACTCATTTAAAAGTATTTCACGTCGTGCCCAATGGAAGTTTCCCGCTGCTGAGAAGACAAAGCCACTTGCCTTGGGGTTTCTGCAGAGGATGCATCTTGGCCAGCGGAGCTTTGGTTTTGGGCTTCCTTCCAGTTTGATGGATACATTGCGCAGGGCTGATGTGCTGCAGGTCGCCGCATGCTTCCAACGCTGGGTTCGACTCAATGTGACATTTGATTTGAAAGGGAGAACAAGGGCAACCTGAGGAGGAAGGGAAAGAAAAAGTTAATATTTGCTTCCTTTTCTTAATCCTGAAAGGTCTGTGCTTCCGAAAGGCAAGCAGGAGAGGGGAAGCAGGGAGCCAGTGATTCACTTGCAAGTTACTACAGCCAATAAATTTAGTCTCTGCAAACATGCCAAACTAGTTGATTAATAAGACAGCAGAAATTCTGGTATTCATAGCTTCTATTAATCATGACTTCTTCCTTACAGACACCCAAAATAAAAGTGAAATACTAAATATAAAAGATAAAGGCTGTTTCAAAAGGGTTCCTCCAAACAGAAATACAAGCGTGCTAGCATACAAGAGCTTTCTACTTGGTACAACAACAGCTAATTTACAGCGAATTAGCCGTGTGTCTGCTGGAAAAAATGTTCCATTCCTTCAGGAGATTTAATCATTCAAGCTACACTTTACTGCTATTTATTATTCCTTCTTGCATAAAATATCAACATTTCCTCAAAAGGCTTGAGTCTTGAAGATCCCATTAAGATACGATCCAGTGGGGAAAAGAGAGGAAAGTGTGATTAATATGTTTGCTTGCCTTTTAATTTAATGCTCTTCATTCATTTCTGTGGGCGCTGTGGAAATAATCCCATATATCTGCTTGCACATAGTGGTTAATGGATTTTCTAATTTGGGGTTTTTGAACTTGTGGCAAGGAGGTGCAGGCTCCATGAAATCCCCGAACCAGCTTTACTAGTGTGTCATGAGGAGGAAACTGGAACACTAATCCCTAAAGAATGGCAAAGAAAACATGACAAACACTCTTCCCATGTTCCTGTTTTAAAGTGGACGAGTCACCAGCATCCTTCTGCAGCGAGATGAGCTCAGCCTTCCTGCGATATGTTCAAGAACAAGGAATGAGCTTCACAAATGCAACCTACTCCTGGCTACACTTCTACTAAGATCAAAAAACTGAAGTGACAAGCACCTCCATCCACATCAGCTAAACTATCCTGGGTTTACATTAATGGTATTAAATCGGGATGTGACCTTTTGGATCCAGACTTTGAAAGCCAAGCGCTGCAGGCTGCCTGTGAAGATTAGCTGAGGGCTGCTCTCCAACCACAGGAACTTTCACAGCAGTACAGATTTTTTTTTTTTTTAAATTGGCATAAAATATTCAAAAGCTCATTTCACTAACAAAAAAAAGATTCAGATGGCATGAATCTATTCACTGAGCTCTGCCACCCCAGTATGTAACCCATCAATTCCTTGGTTTGGCTGACAGTTTTTGCTGCTGAAGCTTCATTAGTGTTTCCACCAAAATACCTGCTTTTCATCAGATTTGAGACCTACTATTAAAACATGCTTATAGCTGAAATGAGGAATTTATAAGCACTGGTGTTGTTCATAGATTTTTTTTTACTTATCACAAAAATGCAGTGAAATGCAGTAGTGGAGATCAGAAGAGGAGGCCAACAGGTTAGCCGAGAGGAGGAGCCCACGCCATGCAACATCCCTCGTGGTTCCAGCGATGGCAGCGGCCGCAGCGCTTTTTAGGGAAACCACTGCAACGTCTTGTTTGCTACTAACATGCAACCAGGACAGAAGTAAATTAGAATAGTTCCCTTACACGTTCCCTTTTCATGGGCCACCACAACCACTGAAAGGGGCCCTCTTCTCTGGTATCATTTTGCAGAGGTTCAGAAGAAACCCAAGAGCTACTCCTTTTTCTTTCCTCTTGAGATTCAGTGTGGAGGAAGGAGGCCCCAAAATCTCCCTTTTTTACTGATAAATACTAGAGCTGTTGGGTGGTTGTGTGCAAGCATACGACACCATCAGAGACCTCTTTTATACCCATGCTAAACGTTACTACCAGTTTAGGTCACTGAAAAGCACAGTGCTCTGACTCGCATTTTACAGGACCACAAAAAGTTTTTCTCTTCTCCTTCACAATCCAGTCAACCAAGGCACAGGCTCCTTTGCTGCTATAACTCAGCCCATGGCAAATGCCTCATGTTGACTGCAGCAAGTTCCAAACTTGGCTCCAAAGGCCTCAGGGTTTGTGCTCAGAGGCATCTACGGAGCAAATACTTAGCTAGATTTTAGACCACTTCCCTTTAAACAAGGGAAGACCAGCTTAAACAACAACAGAATAAATCATCTTCTAGAAAGTCAGTATTTTATATCATTTGTCTTGTGTAGTGCATGTACACATTACTGCTAAAAATAAAATTGCTGTTCACCTGGCGCTGGCACTTAACCCATGCATCTACTGACACAGCATCCAAAGAGCCAGAGGGCACAATGCATACAGTAACACTGATAAGCATTTAGAAAGACAAAGAGCTTGCAAAGCCCTACACATCAACATCGTGCTGGCCTTAGAGCAAGAAAAATACGCATGGTTTAAACCACAAAAGTGGCCTAAAAAAAAAAAAAACACAACTTCATTTAAGCCAAGATCCTTCTCTCTATTCATCTCTGATGTGGCCCCTAAGCGCTGCTTTCTGCACACAAGACAAAAATTCGCTTTCTTTATGTGTTTTTTTTCAAGTGCTATAAAATGACCTTTGAAAATAAGATTTACTGGATTATTTCACATGGAATTCTCCAAGAGCAAAACCTGCCAGAGGTACAGAGAGCTCCTGGAAGATCGTAGGAAGAGATGGGGCAAAGGGAGCTCCAGTGAGGTGCAGGCATTGCCCAGGTAGCCCAAGCTGCTTCCAGAGATGGGATGTTGTGTTTGCTGAAGGCTGTGAAGTGCTTAAGTCCAACTTTACTCACCTAAACATCAGTTACAAGCAGTCTCTCTGTTCAAAACTAATGCAAGGAGAGACCAGCAAAGATGATGCTTCCCACAGGTAACTCTTTACGTTAGAATCAGAAAACGATAGGTGCTTGACTCTTTCAAAAGCAAAACTTAATGAAAATTCCCAAAAACGCCTATGATGAACAACAGCTCATATTTTCACTACAATAGAAAGTTTGCGATAGCCTTTCTGACAAAATTCAATGCCACTGGGAAACCCTGTCACAACACAGAGCACTACTCATCCTCAGCTTCATGAATTTTAGATGACATCCTCATCAAGCTGTTTACTCTCAGAAGAAAGACCGTATTTCTCATAGATGTTGTCACATGTTACAGACTACAGTCTGTTTCTTTATTAGACATAAGTCTAATACAAAGATTGCAGGTTCTGCACTGAGCTTAGTCACGGAAAGAGCAGTTCAACCCAACAGATGAACGTCAGGTCCCCTCCATGCAACAACCTCACAGTGACCTCCAGCCTTTGAGCCAGATTCGGCTCTTGGCCTTGGCATCTAGTCCCCACGTACCAGGGTTTAAAAATTCTCCCAGTTTAAAATAATAAGTAACTTGGAGCACTGTGTTAGAAAGCAGCAAGTGCCTGAAACATTACGGCAGGCTACTGACCAGGCAAACTCTACATCCAATATCTACCGCCAAAATTTGCTTTCATAGATAATTAATACCTGCAGGGCATTTTTCCAAACACCCAGGAAGACAAATATGACTTAATTTATGGCATGCTTGAATTTTTGCCTGCTCAAGCCAAGCTTTCCTCTGGAAAAGCTAATCCCTCTGCTATGCCCAGAAGAGCTCGTTGAAGGCACAGACAACCGTCCCAGCAACAAGCGGATGAGCCTTCCTAGTCCCTTCCACATGGAGCTCCACCATTGGGAATCAAGGTCCTGGAGCTTCCCGGTTCCTAACTCTTTGCTCCTTTACACCTCCTGCAGCATCAATGAAGTCAACAGCACCAAAGGGCACCTTTCACGTAATGTGATATCCGCCTAGTCCGGCTCTGAGAGCACGGGACGACGTTATGATTCCCTGTTCTCTTTCTGAAAAATGAAACTTTCCCAGAGGCAAACTGGCTGCTGCATCCAGAGATGCACATAGTAGCAGTGCTCCTTCTCTACCCTGACTTTGCAATATTCATCATGCACCTCATTTCCTAAATATACATGGTCATCAGGACGGTAAGCTACCATCACCAAGCTGATTAAAAACTGCTTGCAGGGAAAAAAAATGTACATATAAATACAAACAAACTAGAACCTACGTAGCAGCAGGGGCTGTTTCTGCTGCCAGCCTAAGTTTAGGCAGCTAGTCACGTATGTACCCCAAAGCGGCCGGATCTTTAGAAGCAGAACTCTCTCGGTTGCTAATATTTAGAGGTGTTTGGAAAGCTTGAGGTTGCAAGAGGCTGCAAAGCGCCTTTCCTAGATAACTGCACAGGACTGCGCTCCTCCCCGCACGTGGCTGGAAAGGCCATGCACACAGCCCACCTCCAGCCTCCCCTGGCAGGTTTTCAACATGCACAGCTCAAGCAGCTCCAGATTTTCAGGCGAGACATCTGCTCGGATGAGACATCCTCACCCCCTGCTCCCTGGCAAACGCCTTCCCAGGAGGTTTGCTCGTCGCGAGGAACCCTGCTCTCCCAGCAGGAGCTCAGCAGTGCCAACGGGAGCCTCCGGGTACGGGCCCTGCTGGGAGGGATCGGAGGTTGGAAGGTGCAGACCACGGCGTGCTGCAGCGCAGCGAGATGCGTGCTGCAAATCAGAGGGAAGGTGCCAGCCCTCGTACCCTGCTCGCTCCAGGCTATTACAAAATCAGCAGCCCCTTCTCCAAGGTGCTCCACAGACCCGCAGCTCCCCGGAGTCCTTCCTTCGGGTCGCTCCCTTGCCCAGCTTTGACAGCGCTGCGCGAGCAGCGCGGCCCGCGGCCCAGGCTGCCGCAGAGCAGGGCGACGGCACCGCACGCGTGGCCCAAAGCGCCTGCTGGCATTAAGAGCAGCCATCCCACGTGGCATCTCTCTGCCACCCCAAACAGCCAAATCCGGTAAAAGAGCGATAGCAAGGCTGTCGCCATGAACTTGCAGGCACAACCAAGAAAACATTTTGTTCAAAAGCAAGCAAGAAGAGCTGGCACTGATTGAGATTCTATGTCGAAAGGGATGCAGATCACTTACTTGCATTCAAGCAGAGACCCCCACATTTTTCTCC